AAACAAAGATAATTATTCGATACACCGACAACCGGTATTCCAGATTATACTCTTGACACACATGCACATGCATATATGTATCATCCCCTATTATAAAAAATGTATAATCTAGTAACAGCAGGTGTTGGGATAACACTTCCATGATGAATAACCAAACAGCAAAGAACAGGATCACAATGGTGACGACGAAAAATCAAAGCGGCATATAGTTAATGACAATCTATATATGCCCACTGCCAGAAAGCTGTAGCTTTTTTTATGTTTAGACTCTTTGTAAATCTACAGTTTCGAGTTCATGATATAAATATACCAAACAAGGAAAAAGAAACAAAGATTGCATCTATTTGATGCACGGGGGGAGACAACTTGGCTTCAGATAATGAACAAAAATAAAATTAAAAGGAAAATACCTACATTATAAAGAACAAATCTGTCTCAATGAGATGGTGAAGTTAGCTTCCAAAACATTTTCGTTGCTACCAGGATTTTCTCTCTCCCGTGTGATTCGGGTTCCTTTTCATGTATAGTAGGCATCCACCTTACCGCGTGAGCTATGCGAGCCACTTTGTCGATTACTTCAGGAGAATCTCGAATCACAACTGTTCCTTCTGGACGCAACATCCTATCCATCTCCACCATTAGGTCCACAAGATTACACCTGCAGGAATATTAGAGTTGATGAAGGTACTTGGAAGTCAAAAGATAACAGACAAAGCATGCAAAGATTAAACTTAACAGAGTGATCCATGCAGTAATATTGCACGAGTCCATTCAATAGCGATACAACATGCGAGGTCTATCTTATGATACAAAGGTGCAAAGATTGCTTTTTTTCTCGGGAGGGGGGGGGGAATAAGGTTAGTTAAGGCATGGAAAACTGTGATATAAGCAGACATTCAATTTCTTGCATAACCAAAATGATTAGGGCAGAAACTTGACTTGCTCATACAATGATACAAATGCAAAGAGAATTCAAGGGTGAAGTCAGAGGTTACATTTACCTGCTCTTGCTTGAGCCAGGAAGCTTTATTAGTGATTCAATGCCAGCTACATGGATAAAATCATAAGTACGGGGGTATGTTGAGAAAGGCTCACACCTGCAAACAGTAATTGAGATCATTAGGTAATTACAATGTTTACCCTATAGGTATACATAATCCCACATCAGGAGGGTAGAGTCGATTACAGTCGACGGTGCCAGAAGGAGAAGGCGACCAAGGTGGAAGTGGGAAGACTGCTTGAGATCTGATTTGATGGATTTAGCCCTTACCGAGGACATGACCTCTGATAGGAAAATATGGAGACTTAAGACTAGGATAGTCGAGTAGTGTGAGTCACATCTCTAGGGTGTATCATCTCTGTCTTCTTTTAATGCCTTTGTAGTAATTTACATAACTTCTACTTTTTATCCGTTTCTGTTATTGGTATTTATGAAGGCTTAGAACTGGGCTTGCTATCGTTTGACTTCTGTGTATCATTCTCTCCACTTTTAAATTTAGTCGGGTCTTACGTTTCTGTCTATATACAAAGATTACTGCCCATTACAGACGCGCATATGATATTAATGATATTAATGACTGCATATGAATACTGTACAACTATGTATTTATGTATTTATTTATACATGCATTGTATTTTATCTATATTTTTATTTTTCTGACTGCCGGAGGTCTTCCACGGAAGCTACTCTCAACCTGGCGTTGGGGGCAGCCTACTACCCTACCTCCCCCTTACCCCATTGCATATGGGAATTGGGTTTTGTTGTTGTTGTTGTTGTTGTATACATAATCCCACAGATAAAGAGGAATCCGGAAGACGGGCAACCATAACAAACACTAAAAGAAGGATAACGATTAAACAAGTATCTAGTTTGAAAGTTAAACACTGTAGTACATAATTACGGCTCCAGTTGAATAATCACTTGTCCAACTAAATTACCTAAATCTGAGTTAGTACAGTTTTCATGGGAGGTTCAATCAAACAAAGGAATAAGCACTAGAAGGTTTTCTTAGGGCAGAGAGGAGCGAAACATGGTATTTCCATGAGAAAATTTGTCACATATAGTAGATGACAAGGCACTAACAGTATAGTCTTGTTTTCGGACGGGTAATTAACTGTTAACTTTTTCAGAAAATAAGGATAAAAAACCCTACAGTAACTCACCAGTCATGGTATACTCCAATAAGGCTTCTGTCATATATAACACCAAGAGTTAGTGGCTTTCTAGCAGGCACAACATTCATCACCCATATTGGATATGAAGTAAGTGCTGCTGCAAAACCTCCAAAAAATGCATTCATGTCCATGACATTGCGCACTGCTGGAGTCCCAAGCTTCAGATGCAGAGTATTCTTATAATAGGCAACTCTCCTTGTCCACCGCCTTGTGTCTGCCTGGAACAAATCAATCCCGTTTTTCATGACCAAGGCCCTTGAAGGAGCTTTTGTTAGCCTGTCTGGCCATTTAGGAATCATCCCGAGGGGAAATTCTCCATTCACAGAAGATGTTGGAGTCACACATCTTCTTAACTTAAAGTACCTACCCCAGAAAAAGAGAAAAGAAACTTAGAAGAACACTATATTTCAGTTCTAGAAACAACAAGACCAGGGTCGCAACCAGGAACCATCCATCATACAGCTAAATTTTGAGGAAACGTACGTTGATTTCTTGAAGAAAATACGGACAGATTCGAACAAGATATCTAAATGCTTTCCATAGCAATTACCATGCATTACTGGGGTCATTTGATTCATCACAAGATTCAAGCCCAAATTCATTTTGGTTAGGTAGACATGAATCTCCATCAGGCTTTTTCCAAATGACTGTGTTCCCATCTACAGCAATCAACTCATAGCACAATGCTCTTGCCACAGACTGGAGGTCTGCCCACTCCTTATCTTGCTTAGGCCACTGTACAGGGGGTCCAGAGATGACCAAATATCCACCAGGGCGCAGTAACCGATCCACTTCAACGAAATAAGTTGCATCTGCAAAATCCATATATCTTCACGTTAACACTGGACAAAGAGAGATAAAATAAGAATACACTAAAAACACTCCACCACACAGACAAAAACCCACTATAAGCTGTGAAAGGGATCAGGCATCGAGAGCAGTGGATTAAGTCAAATGCAAATGCAGGAAACGGGAGTCTGCGAGTGCCGAGCATTAGAACAAAGGCTGGTATTCCTCTTTCCAATGCAAATTGTATTTGTGATTTGTGCGAATCTCTAGGAGCAAATGAGAGTGTCAAAATGCCCTCTGATAACAATGAACCCCCAAAACTAGCAACCTGCAAAAGGATAAAGGATGATATTCAAACAATACAAAACTAGAGTACAAGCATAACAAGATAGCGTACTATACAAAAAAGAATCAACTTACCCCGCATCCGATATCAAGGGCAGTCCTTAGAATTCCACCGGTTATGGGAATGTACTGCCCGAGTTTCTCGATATATGGAGTGGCTCCATCAGGGAACATTGTTCCACCACCAGGGAAAATAAAGTAAGGACCTTGCTCTTTCATCCATCCTTGGTGACCTTTCCTATCAGCAATTTTGTTGTGTGGCATATTGGAATGCCATATCTAACCATTACACAATTAAAACCGTTTTAAGTATAACATTAACAATTAAAACCGTTTTAAGTATAACATTAATAATTTACTTCCATTTCCAAATGGGAATAATTTATGGCAATATATATATATATATATATATATATATATATATATATATATATAATAATTCTATTTAATAATAATAATAACAAGAAACCACCCGAGAAATCCACAAATTGTTACCTTATGCAAGCTTTCAGGCCACTGAACTGGAATCTTATAACCAGGAGGAGGAGGGATCAAGCAAAGAGGCATTTCATCAGGCAAAGGACAATGCCTTTCTCTATACCAATTCAGCTCCCTGCTCAGCTGGCTGTTACGCCTGGGGTCCTCACACGGCATATGATCAACGGAATCAGCGGGGCAGGCTTCGATGGGCTTGTGATGGTGGCCGAGTTCCACCAACGACACCAAACGATGACGTTGCCTCGGATCCGACGTGGAGAGCAACAGGGCTTGCCTACCGGAGGCGGCCATGGAATCCCCGAGAGGGGTGAATACTAAAAGGAAGAACAAGAGTACAAGGGCGAAGAATACGGCGGATAAGATGTCCAAAATCGTCCATTGCCGCGGGTTCCGTTTGGACGCCGGCATATTGACGTGACCCATGCTTTGGAATGTCCGATAAGATTAGACAAATGGTTTTGATTGGTTTTAAGAAGATGGGAAGTGAGGATTAGAGGGAAATGAGAGATAAGTTTGATGGGATTTGGGGACAATGGGAGGCTGGGATGTAGCGTGGCGTATGCGGTGATGATGGTCTTGGGATTTTAATTTTACTTCTCATTAGTTCCTTGGAACATTGTCGCCTCAAGCCGATGGGGGAATAAAATAATAGGCCGTACCAACCCATATATTTCGTTTTCTGCCAATTAATTAAGGTTTAGATCTTCCATGAACACTAATGGGTTTAGAAATGTGGACAAATTAATGCATTTGTTTTGGTGTCAAGTGTCAACATCATTGTTTTCGTTGATAAAACTTTAAAGAAGAAGAAGAAGAAATTGTATCATATTTTCTTTATTTTAGGTATTGATCGTCTAGGTGTTTGATATTTTTATTTTGTAAATATTTTAAGATTGAGTTGTTATCACCTACTAAATATATAACGAGTGACATGATTCTTAATTTCTTATCAAAATTTTTAAAATCACTTTATTCACTCTGTTCATCGTCATCCAATCAATTATTACTGTTCACTCCTTTTAATACTAGACCTTCAATATTGGTTATCCCATTCTTTTACCATTGTTCTTTTATCATTGTAAATTGATAAATAAGATGTCTCGAACATACGAGAATAGGTGTCACGAACATTTGGCAATCGGAGTGACGTAAAATCAAATAAAAGACCAGGGGCAATGGGAAGAAAAAATTTGAAGGAAAACAAATATTTCCATCTTATGAGAGAAATTTTGAGTATATACAGAACAGTGTACCCCAAAACCATGTCAAATCCACCATCATCATGTATTGTCATCAATCTCCATCTCAAGGGTCTTCTTACGATAGCGCCTTGCACACCAAGAATCCAGGCCCAGCAATATAAAGAACCATATCAAGAAAATCTTGGTAATGATTCAGTCACAGAAATCAGATTTTCCTAGAAGCCCTAAGATTGTATTCATGCTTCAGAAGATTTGCTCTCAGCAGCATTGCCCTCACATCCAAATCAAATTCATTACCAGTCTGCAAAACCCGCTGGAATGTTGCATTTCTTTGATCCGCATGACGTGCATAAAGAATTTTGTTGTGCGAGTCAATCCGAGCCTGCAGAGATATTATAATCATCACGGTAAAGGATGTATTCAGACAAAAGGTTCATTTGATTTCATTTGAAATGGCTTCCTTCGCTCCCGGGAACTAAGGGGTTAACTCTACTTCCCTCTCTAACTGTTCTAACATTTTGGGAAGGTTCTGATTTACAAATTAAGGTCATTCACTTTATTTGCACTTCTGATCTTCACAATCTGATAGATCCTATTAAAAATGGGCAATACCAATTCAAATCTAAAGAATAAAATCACACTTATCGGTCGCCAAAGAGGAAAAGACTAATTAAATAATAAAATTCATAAGGATATTAGAGAAATCATATATAGAATCATGTGCACATTCACCAATGAAACTTAAGAAAGCATGATACAGGTGAAAATCAATACCTGTATCTGGTTGTCAGCAATCAAGGATTCAAGTTCTTTCTCAAGACCTGCAACACTTGTTTTAAAGGCATCAGCCATCATTCGCAAATCAACAGACACAAATGGGTGCGTATACTGGATGAGGGCTTTGCTCCTGATTTGATCATACAGGGTCTCAAAATGGTTGTGTATATGGATGTCAAACATCAGGTTGGATTTGAGGTTTCCAAGATATTCCAAGCAGGAAGCATAATGGCTGCAATAAAAAAGGAAGGCAAAATTTAAAAGGGGTTCTCATCAATTGAGCACACATAAGGACTTGCCGAAACCCAATGTCATGAGACAAAAGATTGTATATCATGATATTAACCACAGAAAATTCACTGCATATTAAAAAGATAGATAATACCTTGAATAAAAATCATTAATAAGCTCCCTTACTTCAGGTACCAACTCCAAGAAATTCCGGAAGTTAATATTGTCAATAACTTTGTTCTGCAAAGTTAAAAACATTGCATGACAGAGATATCTAGCAAACAACAGTACAACACGCTCAGAAAATAAAGGGAGCAGCGGACTAGAGAGATTCATGCCTTCAGTTCAGTTCGATCAAAGCTTGCAAGGGCACAAAGTCCACCATAAGTAGCAACATCTTGAGGAGCAATCACTTCACTGTATGAATTCCCCAATTCAGGACCCACCTCCAAGAACTGCACACATAGAAAAGACGATCAATCCAGCAACAAAAGAGTAACGGCTCAAAATAAGACTAACCACAAAACCCCACCTGTTATATTTCATAAAAGATAATTAATAATCAATACAGGATGACCAACAGAAGGATGCCTCAGAGCCTCAAAAAGCATAGTGAGCAAACTTGGAATTAATCAGCCCAACAAACTTTTAGGGATTGCAACAGATAAAGGAAGCAGAACTAATCCTCAAGGTACACAGCCATTGTACTGCATTAGTATCAGAAGGAATACTACAATACAAATTCTCTTTAAGATTTCTACCATAATGTACACCACCAAACCCAACACCATAAAAGATTTCAGGCTTCCTTTTAGGAAAGCAATGCTCCAAGAATGTTTAAAATGTATATTGTTTACACTAGGTTCATTAAACTTATTCCGCTCAAGATCAAGTAAGATTTATTTTGATCTTAAAGGAAAAGATTCCAATCCAAATTGTGTGGCTTGAATAGCTTCTGAACTTGAGTTCAAGAAAATGAATTAGTAAAGGACCAGAAATAAAATGAAAAGATTTATATATGAATAACCACCCATTTCCAGATAATCACAAGTAAATACTATTATTTTCTACACACTTCAGCCATATCAAAATCAACATATCAGGAATAAATGATAGTGCATGTCAAGATACTAAATCAAGAATTAATGAAAGCAAAAAATGCAACATTTGAATTATCCAAGATAACCAAACAATTTATAAGCTAACAAACCTTACGAGCAGCAAGCTTGTACTTCTTAGCCTCCAAATGTGCCAATCCGGCAGCACAGTGTAGCTTAGCTGTAGTGGGAGGGTCAAGTGCTTCGGGTGTTTGCTCAGCCTTACTGACGTAGCTTGTCACATGAGTAAATTGACCCATCTCAATGCTCACAAGAATTGCACTCAAGCACATCTGAATAATATGTTTTGACGTAGTACAGTAATCGCGAGTTCGAACATAGCTTTTAAAAGCATCCCCCAGTGCACCGTGAGCATAGTAAAAATCTCCAAAATCATTGTATCCCATTCTAATACTTTCTTTGATTAAATTCGTCTGAAAGTTAGAACCCAAACAAATTACAAATAAAAAACTAGCTTCTAGAAATTATCTTCAGAAAAATCGAATTACCCTATAGGCATTGAGTTCACTTTCGAGCTTATCTTTCCTTTGCTCGGCTTTCCGATCAACCGTAGCGCACCACGCGGCATCCATACAATAGTCAGCACCCAATCGACCATCTATCTTCTGGACCACTTCACGGAATGGCCGAGTGTTCTCCCCCTTTTTGATCTCATCGTAAGCCATCCTTAAGGCTTCCATTTGCATCGCCGTATTATCGCAGTGATCGGCAATGAATATGAGCCGCGTGATCTTGGTACGGCCGGAGTAAAGCCCAGCATAAGCCTCAATATCTAGCTGTTCGCCACTAATGATGGGCCGGTTCTTCCGCTCCGTTGTCGACGTTGAGGACGACGGCGCTTCTTCTGCACCCCCGATGCCGTTCGCACACATCTCTTCCATCTGTGGATTCGAGATGTCCACTCCATCCATTTTGAACAAAAAAAATTGAAAGAATTAAAAATGATAGGATATGGGAACTTAAGGGATAGGGTTTGTCCGGGAACTTAAGGGTTAGGGTTTGTCCGCGAACTGTTTTTTGAACGACTCTTAGGGAACTTTCATGATTGTTTTTTGAATCTAAGGTGTCTTCCAGGAACAAAGATAATTGTGTCGATTGATAGTGATTTATCTTTAGTAAATATATTTAGTTTATATGTTAATAGATATATTTATAAATATTAAATAAATAAATATAAATATACAATAATTTTAAATAAAACAAACATAAATATAGTTTTAAAATCTTTAGTAAAAAGAACCAAATATCAACAAACTTAAGAATAAACAACTAAATAGAAACAAAGATCTGTTGGATTCATTTAAGCCCTAGGCAAATTTGCCTCTTGATCTGATGACGGCCCGGCTGGGTATAAAATATTCGTAAAAAATTCGGCCCAAATCGGCCGTATATCTTCCCTTTCATACGCCATCGCATGTACCTTCTATTCATACGCCATTGCTCTGTTCTCTGATTCTCGGTTTCCTGCTTTTCTTTTCTTTTATCATAAAAAAAGTGAGTAACTTTGCTTTTCACATTTCCCCCCTTCAAAACTCTCGTTCCTTGCCCTTATTTCCCCTCATTTTTTGTTTTATTTTCTGAATCCATTATAATTGGTTGAATTCAGGAGCGTTTAAAATCTTTGAAGTTGCCAGTTTCCGTGTCTTGTTATTATTTTTCTGTAAGGATTGCAACTAACTCAATTGATTGGATTATTGGTACTAATCATAATACTGATTAGAATTGGCTGCTAATATTGTGAATAGGCTTTATTTATCACTGAATTGTAAATCGTTTGTTGTAATTAATGATCTGATCGAACCCTCTCAAGTTTATGTTTATTTTACGCAAATTACTTTCTTAGCTTAGTCAGATTAAAAATTAATGACAGTGTCGTAGTTAGATTGATCCTGTATATAATTCGATGATCTCACTTACGCAACAAATATTTCGTTTCCTTCTCTATTTTTTAGCCCTTTTTTCTCTTGCGTGAATTTATGGATAGGGGCGCTCTTTGCCACAATGGAACTCATAAATTGTTTGTTTTCTGGTTACATGATGTGCGTTATTGGCATTATTAATTTAAGCTCTCTTTTTTTTTCTTTATTTGTCACTTTTACTCTCTGAAAGAGAAAAAAAGAAGGTAGAATGTGTCTTTGGATACAATATGGAAACATATTATTGTAGGAGTAGGTTATAACCTGAAATTCAACTTGCAAGAATAAGAAGCATGATTTTACTTCTATGCCTAACTGATATGTTTGCATTGATATGTGTGTTTTGGCCTGTTTGAATCACATATGATATTGTATTTACTATTTTCTTGTTAACGGCAGAGTTTGATAATTGAAAAGATAGTGGTTAAAATGGGGTGTTAAATGGATTAACGAAGCTAACTCCTTTCTTCTTCCTTTTTTTTTACAGTGCTAAAGGAACCTCAGGGCTGCATAGCTGCTTGATGACTTTGTAGAAATTTAAAAGGAAAAAAATGAAAAATGGTTGGGATTTCTTGAATTTGCTCCATTATGACTTGTCAATAAAGATTCTTACATCTTTGGAGGATCCATCTGATCTTGTTCGCTTTGGTGCTGTCAAGCGCTCCTGGCAACATTTTGGTGAGCTAGAATTATATATACAATATTCTTCTCATTTAATATTGAAAATTATTTGTAGTTATTAAATGCTATAAAAGCTTACGAGGCAAAAACTGGATTCATCTTACTTTGTCATTTTGGTAAAGTTCTATGGAATTATTCCATTCGGTTCCTTGTTTTCCATTCCTTGTTTCTTGTCCCATGTTTATCTATTTAAGAAATTTGAATGTTTGAAGTAAAATGGTTTTCAATAAAAACAATAGGTTATAAACCTCTCAGTTCAATTCAGATAAGTTCTACCAATTCAATTAAATTGCTCAAAATCTTCTTATCAAATATTTCCTTTGAATCCAAAAAGTTTTGATTGATTAGCTAGCTGAATGCATTTGCTAAATGTTCTTTTATCCTCATTTGTGCATCCCGATTTTACCAGTACTTATCTTAGTAAGCTGCTTGGTTTGCAATCTGATCTTTTATTCTCATGGTGTGGATTTGGTTTGCAATTCTCTTCTACATTTAAGTTTTCTGAGCCAAAGCCCAACTTGAAGATCCATCCTAAGAACTTGCTTCAGAATTTGCTAACGTCTGTAAGGAAAAGAGAGTAACCCACCTAAGCAACGTTTAAAGTTGGGAATAGATGAGACAGACATTCATGTCCTTTTTTGTTCTCTATGGTAGTGTAACATTTATGTGTTCATTATGATATAAATCCTGCATTGCTGGTCTTTGGCTTTTATGCATGACCTGCTTGCTGTCATTGCTGACTTTATGAGTTTTCAATGGTTTGCAGTGATTAAAAATGGCCTATGTAAGCAACTGTGCCAGAGAATGTTTCCTCAATTATCTAGAATTGATCATGTCAATGAGCTAAGTAGTGCTGCAAAAGGCCATGCTGAAGCTGGATCTAGCAATTTTATGCAATGGGAAGCCTTGAAGAGGGAGCATAGAGTTTATGCCTTTTTAGCTAGAGGTTGTTTGTCATTTGATATCAGGGAGTGCATCGCAGAAGCAATCATCGCTTCTAGCACTGATAATTACCCGGAGGAAAGCATAGATAATACTTTGGAACCAAGAGATAGGGTGGCACGGAGAGCTTCATACTGGTCAAGTAAAGGACAAAGTAACCCTGCAGTGCCCGAAACTTTGACATATAGATTATGTGCTGATTTATGTGTTATTACTGAAATCAATATAAGGCCTTTCCAAGGTAATTGTTTCAATATTCTTGTAACACTGTTTTCCCGTATTTCAATCTTATTTTATTTTAGCTTGAAACTCTTCTTATCAGATATATTTTTTAATTCAGCTTACTTCCAGTTTGGTAACCCAATATACTCAGCTAACTCAGTGAGATTTCGGTTGGGTCATATGAAGTACTATGTGGACAATCTTGTGAGTGAATCATGCCAGGATTGTGGTCATGAGAAGTTTGTATGGACTTACACCTCAGAAGAGTTTCCTATGTCTCAGGTGGGTTCAAGCATCTGGGTTCATTTGGCTTCATCTTTTTTTGGCTTTCTCTATTTGTTACTATAATAAATACTAGATCCGGTTATTGTGCGAGCATCCATTGCCTATACTGAATAAAAGTGACTTTATATGATACTAATACAATTCAAATGACTCCTAACGTAATTTCTGTTTTCAGTTGTTATCATCTTCCAGATGCATGCTTTGTGAAGTTAATTCTCTTATAGTTTTGTAAAAACTCACACAGGAGAACTGATTATGTTGGATTTTTACATAAGCAGGAAAATAAACTGCAGAATTTCAAGCTTCCAGAACCTGTTATTTGCATTGGTGGGATGTTACAGATTGAGCTGTTGGGTAGGGTCCAGAGGCAGGACATGGATGGCTTATACTATATATGGTAATGTCAGGTGCACCCTTTACTTTAACCTAATTTGATACCAACATGTTGTAACAGGGTCATGAGTGATATGTATTTTTTTGACAAGATTTCTCTTTGGGACACATGAATCAACTGCAATGTTTATCTCTAGGTGTATTTAGTGATTTTGGCCATCTTTCTATGCCCTTGTTTTGATGCAATCTGTTGGGTGGCATCATTGCAGTGTCTCTCATATTCAAGTAAAGGGACGCCCATTATCTCCTGCCTTTGGTATACAGATACTCGAACCGTCTGCAAATTTTATGCTGGAGGCACGGAGTTACACGCAACCACCTCCCGTACCTGAACAGACAAGCCTTGAATCCACACTGCAGATGCGTGTGAGAGACTTGGAGCAGGTTGTGAATTTACTGCGGGAGAACGGGGGGAATGTAGTCGACGTCATGGAATATGGATATAGATGGGACATAGAGGATGAAGAATCAGATGAGGATGAGGAGGAAGACATCGACATAGAATAAACTTGTTCTAGTTTTCTTCCCCCAGTGACCTGAGTTACAGGTCACGTGGAAGCTAAAATTTCCTGTAAACAACACTTGGAGTCTTCCTGGGTTTTACCTAAACTTTGTTCGTTCATGATTTAGTTATTGTGTCGTAATATGCCAAGTTTTATCAATATTTATAAGCTTTATCTAAGTGCTTCGAGGCTTTCAGATCTGCCCAGTGTGATGCTGAGTAAGGGAATGACAAGTTTATTTAAGGCATAAGTGGTTAAATTATACTGTTTTGTTTTTTGTTTCAAGTGTTTAATTTGTTTCTTTTTCCTTTTGGCCAGAGTAGGTGTATACTGTTTTTATTTCGTAATCATTTAAAAATCAATTTGTTATCTCGATTGAAAAGAATATCTGTTCAATGAATGTATGACACGTGTCCTGATTATTATTTCTTGTTTTCTTATATTTTAATTATTAATTTTTACATTTTGCCATTCTCCAATCAGCTTCTAAAAAAATCTACTCATCGTTCTAGTTTCTTCATTTGTTAAAAGTTGATGGTTATCGGAACACCGCCTTTCATATTTAAACAGTTTCGTCGGAGTGGAAGAAGATATATATTTGGAAACTTATTGGATCTGATGAATGGAGGGTTCAAAGCTAGGATCTAAATTCATTTCCATCGTCGACTATGCCATTCTCTGTCTCGACTCTCTCTCTCATCCTCAACGGTGATAGTTATACCGTTGATTGCTGTTTATCACCGCATCAAAGTTTCTATTAAAGTAAAAACTGTTTGTCGAAGACAGTAGAAGAGCCATGAAATAATCCGTCGAATCGGTGCAAGCATCGGCGATCAATAAAATCATTTATTGATTGATTAGAATAATATAAAATCCAGACTTGTTTTTCGACAACATTAGGATAACCATCACTGACTAGTGTAAATTTCGATCGTTGATAGGGTTGGTGAATATGGTAAGATGAGTGCT